TCTTGTTCTTTTCATAACATATTTAACTAATGGAATTTTAGAGTTCTTTTGGAGAACTCAGAAATGTATTCATAATCTATATATATAAAAAGCCAGTGACCATAACAACTGTAATGACCAGTTGCTATGACGCCCACTGTGGCCAGTGAACTGGCCTGATCAGGGGGTGGGACTGGCAGGCCAACCTCTCGGCCCCTCCCCCCTGCCAGCCCACCCCTGATCGGACTCTCCCAACCCAATCAAGAGGGGGCTGGCCAGCCAAACGCCCCCTCCCTCTCCCCCCAGCCCTTGATCAGCCTGCCCCACCACAATAGGCCCGCAGCCCCACCCCTGATCGCACCCCCCACCCCAATAGGGGGCAGGGCTGGCTGGCCAACCTCCTGAAGCCCCTCCTCCCACCCAGTCACACCCCCAATGGGCCCCCACCACCCTAATCAGCCCGCAGCCCCTCCCCCTGACCACCCCACCCCTGATCGCACCCCTCCACCCCAATAGGGGGCAGGGTCATCCAGCCAACCTCCTGCAGCCCCTCCCCCCACTCAGCCCTATCCCAGATGGGCCCCCCCACCCTGATCAAGGTTAGAGCCAGTTGGCTAACCACCCATGGCCCCTCCCCCAGGCCGCTGGCCCCCAATCAGCACCCCCACCCCCTTTAGGGGCAGGGCCAGCTGGCCCACCACCCACAGCCTCTCCCCATGGCCAACCCCACCCTCAATAAGCCCCCCAGCCCAAATCGGGGGTGGGACCCACCAGCCAATCACCCGCAGCCCCTTACCCCAGCTGGCCTGGCCCTGATTGGCCCTGATTGGGGCGGTCCAGCTGGCCAACCTCCCACCATCTCCTCCTCCCAACAGGCCCAGCCCCGATCCACCTTGATTGGGGCCAGGCTTGCCGGACCACACCCATGCACGAATTCATGCACTGGGCCTCTAGTAGGTACATAAAAGCAACATGAAAGAAAAAGTCATGCTACGTCACATTGCTGAACTAGAAACAATAGTTACAGGGTTATAATAAAGCAAACACTAAACAGTAACAACTAAAAATATTGTTAGAATGAGAAGAAGGGAAGAGAGTGTGTAGGTGGGATGTCATTATTTTCCATGATAAGAAGTTAATTGATAGTGCCTAAAACTCAAAAATCAAGAAATGTAAGTATGAGAACAATCCTTAGAAATTAGGATTCTTAAAAATAGAAGCAACAGCCTGGCTGGTGTGGCTCAGTGGTTGAGTGTTGACCTATGAACCAGGAGGTCAATGTTTGATTCCTGGTGAGGGCACATGCCCGGGTTACTGGCTTGGTCCCCAGTAGGGGATGTGCAGGAGGCAGCTGATCAATGACTTTTATCAATGACTTTTTATCTCTCTCTTCTTCTCCTTCTGAAATCAATAAAAATATATTTTAAAAAATAGAGGCAACAACTATAAGAATTGAAAGCAGTTGCCTCTAATGAACAAAAATTAGTGAGAAGCAAGGTAGAGAAAGGGATTACTGTTTTTCATCTTGAATATTTTATATCTCTGACTTCTTAAATTATGTACCCTGAAAAAAAATCAGTTCCATGTTCATTATACCTTTGGATGGTTAGCTGAAATTAAAAATTTTAGGAAAGGTCAAATGTGCCATAGTGGTAATACTCCAGACTATACAAACTAAATACTCCCTAAAAACTTAGTTATACTGACATTGTAATTATAATTATAGACCAAATTTTGAATTTGTTTGGCTGCCTAGAGCACCAGAGTCACCTGAAAGATGGTAAACTTTCATTTTGCTCCATCTTGATTTGTCCTTTGGAGTATATGTGCCCTGTAAATTAAATCCCTTTGGGTCATAATTTTATTCTTGCCAACCACTTTGTGATTTTGGCTAAAATATGGGAGCATCAGCTACTTGGTCTTATGGTTGTGCTACTAGAAGAGAGAGAGCTAAGGACAGGACAAAGTTATTAGAGTATAAGAGTAATAGAGTTACACTTTCCACTTAGACTTTGTTAGCTAATATCAGCCCTGAGATAGATACCACTTACTCCTTCTGTGCCTCCCATTTAGAAGACATGTTAGGAAAGAGTAATGAAAGGAATCAGAGCTTAGCCATTTAGATCAATTTGATAGAAAAAGGCAAGAAGCCAGGTTGCATTGTTAAGAAAATCTTCAATTTTCTGAGAGTGGCCTCTTTTGTCCCCAATTCTTTGTAACATTGACAGGTGATGTCTTGGTCCCATTTTTTGTTGTATTGTTGTGGGGTTTTTTCACTGGCATCTAATAATGCACAGACCTGCTGTATACTTCCAGTTTTACATGAGTCTTGCTTTCAAAGTATCTGAGTTCATGTATATATGGTGCCTTGTATGAAGATTGTTTCATTAGAGCAGCCATCTAGGCCTTCATGGTATTGGAGGTTCTCTGGGCCTCACTACATAGGAAGCTGTAATAATAAATCCATGTGTTTCCATGGATTACTTTAGACCACTCTGTAAATTGTGTTTGTGCAATAATTGCAAAAACTAACATTGACACAACAATATTTGCTTTATTCTCTAAAAGATGCCACAATGCTTAGCATAAGTTTTCACAGATTTGTAGGATAAATCAACGTGAGCCATAGAAGTAAGACTCTAGGCAAGGAACCCTGCTTCAATTATTTAAACCTTCTTTAATAATATTAAAAAGCCCTCAGGTCCTACTACATATTTTTTTAGTTTTTAATATCACTTCTTGAACATTTTACTGAAGTATAATGTGCATACAGAAAAGAGCACATGTCCTAAGAGAACTGAGCACTCCTGTGTGTGTAAGCAGCACCCAGTTAATGAATCAGAATATGACCTTTCTGTACCCTTTCTCAATCACTGTCCCCAAGGGTAACCACTGTGCTGCCTTTTAAAATTTGTTTCCCCTGAGGAGTTTTGGGTTTTGTACTTTATGGAAATGGAATCACACAGCATGTACTCTTTTGTGTCTTGTTTCTCTCACTCACATTATTCATGTAAAGTTCATCCATATTCTTGAATGTTGTGGTAGAGTACTCTAGCTGTGTACTATTCCACTATGTTAATATTCACAACGTATCTATTTATGCTACTGTTGATAGGTGTTTGAGCAGGTTTATGAAGTTTCATGTTGTTTTCAGCATGATAGCACATATATTTCAATGAACATGTATAAACGTATCTATTGAGTATATATGAAGAAGTGTGTAGCTATGTCAGAGAGTCTGCATGTATTCAGCTTTGCTAGATAATAGCCCAACAACTTTCCAAAGTAGTTGTGTTGATTTTTAACTTTTTATTCAGCACACATTGCTTTAATGATACTCAGGAAAAGGAATATTATTAGATAACTGTTTTCTTCATTGTAGGTTTCACAATCATGAATGGTGGTTATATAGTAGGAATATGACTTGTTTAAACAAATCAATACTAATAAAAGAGTAATATGCTAATTAGACCAGACATCCTTCTGGACAAAGCCACAGTGGCGGGGGCTAAGGCAGAGATGGTTAGGGGCGATCAGGCTGGCAGGGGAGGGCAGTTAGAGGCAATCAGGCTGGCAGGGGAGGGCAGTTAGGGGTGACCAGGCTGGCAGGGAGCAGTTAGGGGGTGATCAAGCTGGCAGGGGAGCAGGTAGGGGGGGATCAGGCTGGCAGGCAGGCAAGTGGTTAGAAGCTAACACTTTCGGATTGCGAGAGGGATCCCAGATTGGAGAGGGTGCAGGCTGGGCTAAAGGACACCCCCCCCCGCCCCGCCCATGCAAGAATTTCGTGCACCAGGCCTCTAGTTTGCTACATAAAATAGAATGCTTTGATTAATGAAAAAATTTTCTCTCAGGATTTTTGAGTCAACACTTGGTCATTAGAAACGTTTTCAGATTTATTACAAAGGAAGAAATTTGCCAAAATCTACATGAACAGTAAGTTCAGGCAATGGACAGTTTCAGAGGGAAGCTTTTCCAACAATCATTAAGCAGTCAGCAAAGGACAGTGAGGGATTCTAAAAGCAGGAGCCAGTCACCGGAGATAATGCCAACCCTACCAACCTTGAGTAAACATCTTATTTTATCTGAGGCTTTATTTTCTTATCTGTAAAATGGGGATCTTAATTCATACTTGGTGAGGATTTTACATGGAAATGCTTCATATTATATATGTCAGGTATAATTATATCAGGATGGGGAACATCCAGCCCGCAGGCCATAAGAAGCCCACGAAATCATTTGATCTGGCCCTGCCAAGGCATTAGGGGTGAGTTAATTAAATGTTTCATCAAATATAGCAGGCTAACTTTTAAGTTGATAAATTTGTATGGCCTGCGAACGATGGTATAGATATCCAAATGGCCCTTGGCAGAAAAAAAGGTTCCCCAGCCCTGAATTATATGAAGTAGACAGAGTTCTGTTTATATCAAGGAGCTGCAAACGTATTCTTAGACCATGACATTAAATCCTTAAGTGCCTTCCAGTTATATTCCTAGAGGATACATTTTCCTCTATCTTGTTTAGCACTGTCTTCATTTGTAGCATTATAAGTGTTGCACAGTTCAACTTCATGAAATTTCACTAAGTCATTAACATACTCTGGTGATCATTAATTTACTACCCAGTTTACTAGTTGCATTGTGAGTTTCTAGTAGTCGTTTGCCTCCATCTTATCAAGTAGTGACTAAAGATGTGCAGTTGGGTCCTGCAATGCATGTTCACGCTTGGGTAGATTATCTCAGATAATGTCATAGTTTTCCCGAACTGATTCAAAAATTACTTCATGTTGGACTTCTTAGTATGTTTGTTCTTTGGTGTGAGTTGTTTTGAAAAGCAATTCTACTTATGTGGCATAATATGTTTAAAAGCCAGCTGAAAATGCCAAACAAGTCGTCACACCTTTGGGTATTTTTCAGGGCTAAAAATTCTTCATGTGTATTAACTTAATAATAGCCCTTTATTTCATTCTATCTTCTTCTCTCTTTTCTTTTTCTTTTTTATGTCCCCATGTATATTGCGTGCAGTGTGTTTGGCGTAGTTACGCAGCTGATGAAAAATCTGTTTCCATTGCAACCTGGAAGCCGCATTTGAAGGCCCTGCACACCTGCAGCCCCACCAAGTAGGTATCAGTGTGACAGCTGGTGCTGTAGTCGAGTCTCTTCAAATTTGCAAAACAAACCATACACATACATACACACACACGCACACGCACACGCACACGCACACGCACACAGTGTCAATTTGGGTCTTGCCTTATTCTCTGCTTCTCTTTCAAACCTTTTTAATAGCAATTCAGGCACAAAACTCAATTGACCCAGTATCATTCCTCACCATCCATTGATGGGGTTTAAAGATTAAAAGAATTTAAACTTTCTAGAGATTTATTTCTACTATTTCATGATACTATTTTCTAATATCTCATTTCATAAAACCCACCAGAATTCTAAAGGTAAGCACCACTATTTTTGAAAAATAATGGTTGTTTAAATTCCATCCATCACCTGACCCCAAACAGGGAGTGCTTTGAAAGCAATATATCTTTGCACATTGAAGTTCCTCAAAGTCATTTCTCATTTAGATCCCCTTGGCTCTCCAGCTTTTACCTGCAGATCAAACTAACATTAATAGCAAAATAAGAGAAGAGTTGGAATCCTAATAGGATTACAGTTTACAGTGAAGCAATGGGACCAAACAAATTAAAATTTGGAATTAGCATTCAGAATTTTAAAGTAATATTACTTACATTCACATTACATTGGCCAAAGCAAAACTCCAAGAGGACAGGGAGTGCAGTCCTACCACGTGCCTGGAAGGAGAGGAGAACCAGAAAAGTTATGAACAGTCCTGATGGTTACGACAGTGAAGTTTAATTTTCAAAAACAATCTTTAGTCCTGGAATCCTGGACTCCAGTTCCACTGGAAGAGCACATATTAAATCATAATCACCATCTAATTAAAGAACTCTTCATTGAAATAACCAAAGTACGTAAGTCAAGGGAAAGGCTTTCTGTGAGTCACCCATCTTGGCTACAGCGGTCAGTTCCTCAGATTGTTCAGACATTATCAAATTGCTTATCTGAGCTAGGATTTTAGAGCGTCAGCCATTTCCCTTCATAATCCAACGAAACCTTCATCCTAGTGGCTTCATAGGATTCAAGGCAACTAACTACTATGACTCGGAAACTTCTTTCTTACTGATGTGAGAGAGAAAGGGGCTCAGGAAACCGTCATGAGGTGTTCCCTGGAATTGAAGTCTCAAAAGGACATTTGTGATGCAGCAGAATACACACTGTAGAGGGCGGCAGATCCATCAGTAACTGATGGGATCTGCTGTATGGCTTCCCTGTCCTGCCCTGGGCTTCAGTGTTCCCATCCACAAAGTGAGGGCAAGAGCTCTGCAAGATAACTTCCGAGCTCTCGTGGGACATGTCTCCTAAAAGTTGGTATCGGAACTCTGCCAGCACCTGTGACAGAGATAGTCATAGAACGCCAGGATTTTAAAAGGGATGGGACCTTAGCAAGGACAGAAGCATGGATGCCGTTGAGTGAATGTGTGGATGAGAATCCTCTTCATTTAGATCTTAAAATGTAGTTAAATGCCCTTCATTGCGTACTGGACTCTTTCAAAGTTGTAGTAGGGAAGAAAAAAGGAATATAACTCTTATGCTGTCTGTTCCTTGGGGGTATAAATCAAAACTGGGAATTACATAAAAATTGTATTTCTTTTCTTCATAAATGCATAAGAGGAAGGCCTGCAGAGAAACCAAAAGACGGTTCTGAGGTGACCGAAGAGAGTGGCCTGTCAGCACATGTGATTCATTGGCTTTCCCCTTCCACAGTTTTTGGAAGAAAACTCATTCTGAAGCCTGGAAAAACTTCAATAATGAGGCAGACTCTTCCAATGCATAAACTTATTTTACTCACATAATTTCTCTCTTCTCCTTTGATATTTTTCCTGTTTTTAAGTGGGGACAGGGTAGAGGAGAATTTATGCGAACACCTGCATTTATTCTGTTCCACTGTGACTATCAACCACCTCTCACTCCCCTTCCCTGCACTCCCTCACTCACCCCGGAGACTCAGCCCCATTTACTGAATAACAGGGATTTGTCCAGAATGACACCGCAGTCACTGGCCAAGTTCATGGGATCCCGGGTGTGCTAACATCTCTCCCACCAGCCGTGCTTCGTTGTTCTAAACTGTAGTGATTCTTAATCTTTGTTGTTGTCATTTTTCTTTGTTAAATTGCTGAGAATGGGATGGTAATTGTGGACTCTTTCCCAAGAAACATGTTTACTGCATAAAAAATTAAAACTTTGCCTACAATTTTAATGTAGTTATAAACTCCCTGAAGCCAAGTTCAGAATCTCTGTTTTAGAAAGCAAACCTGCTTTAATCAAGTGTGTGGGTTTGTGAGGTAAATAATTTACAGTGACTTCGAGGGATATTTTTACATTTATAAAACCAAGTGTCTTATGAGCATAAAGTGATATGTAGTAAGAAACAAACCAAAACTTCTTTCTATGTAAATAGGAACATTTAATCTATAACATTTAGGGCTTAAAAACTTCCCAAGGGAGAGATCATTCATTCATGCATGCATTCATTCAACAAGGATTCATTGAGTACCTATTATGTGCAAGGCACTGTTCCAGGCACTAGGAATGCAGCAGTGAAAGAGAAAAACAAAAACAAACCAGTTAGAATCTCAGACCTTGGGGAATATAGTATACTCAAGGCTTGCTGGGAAGAGACAATAAAAATAAATAAGTAAAATATTTACTAGATCAGAGGGTGGTGAGTGCTAAAGAGAAAAGTAGAATAGGGAAGGAATTTAAGAAGCATTAGGGGCTGCAGTTTTAAATAGGTAGTCAGCAAAGTGATCATATTACCAATAGCATTATCATCATCTTCATCATCATCATTAAAAAACCAACCATGCTCTTGTTCCCCACAGTTTAGAGATACAATGGGATGCATTGACTCCACCACCTCCTCTGAGGAGTAATATAGGAGAGAGGAGTGAGAACTGTGTGGGGGAGAGAGGGGTGGGGTGAGGGGCATGCCACACCCACTCAAACCTGCCAAGGACACACCAGCAATTTCTTACTCTCCTCTCTGGTCTGGCTTGTCTCTTACATTTCTTTTAAGGTTTCCACAATTGCTACTTTAAATTTTTGTTTATAACAAAAGGATTCATAAAGGGAACATATTTTTCTTGGTTTTCTTCTTGAAGGGAATGTAGGCTATGCAAAGGGTGAAACATGGGTAAACGTGTTATTTTAGGGGATGAGTCGCATATTTTATGAAGCTATAGGGAATTATCAAGCGCACGGATGCCCAGCGGTATCTTAAGAAGTCAGAATTTAGATATTATCTAATCCAATGCCTTCAATTTATTCATAAGAAAACCAAGACCCACAGGAAAGTGAGGTGTCCGCCCAAGGACAACGGGTCATTTGCACCATGTTGTATAAACCTGGGTTTGCTAAATTCGGTAATTACGAACACTACCCAACATTAGGCTGGAAGAGTTATAACGGATTCCTATGTGCCTACTAGGCTCCAAGGGAATTCGTACTTTATACAATAGGAAAACAGCATCTGCCTCAACAAAGTGACTGAGGTACATAAGCCACACATTCATGAATCCAGATTAAGAACCCAAATGTCTGTCTAAAGCTCAGGGACTGCAGCTACAGTGTGACCGGCACTGCTTTAAGAGACTCTGCTAAAGCTGATCAGATCAGAACCACTTTTCTTTAGACATGAATAACTCTGGCTGTGGAAGTGCCCATAGTTTTTCATTACATGTAGGCAGAATTGTTTTTGCTAAGTAGATGCTATGCTATCTCTGGTCTGTGCCACAAAGAATATATGTTAAAAAGCTAGAGACATTTATTATTTTTAAAATGGCTTCCGTGGATCTTGCTTGAAATGAATTACTTAAGGTACTTATGTCCCCCAACCCCCAATTGGGCCATTATCAAGTGCTGTAAATGTATTCACCAGTTTATCATCATTTCTCTTCCGTCCGCACGCACCTGAAGGAAAGAACAAGGGGAAGCATCAAGCAGGTTTGTGATCTTTTCTGCTACATGTTTGTTTATAAATCTGTGCCTAACAGATGTTTTAAATGTGTCTCATGTGAGTAAAATCGATCCACAAATACAGAGTGATTAAAAGTGGCCTTTCCCAGGATTGCCTGCAGAGGTTGCTGTGTTATCGATTCCCCGCTCCCCTTGGGAGCATAAGTGCCTTTCCCTAACCCACTCACTGCTTTTCACAATCTGCAGAGAGTGCAACATTCGGGGGGGAAATAATCATTATAGCCTTTGGTTATTCCTTGCTACCATTTTCCCAGACAGAAGTCTCACCCAAGCATTTAAACCCCAAGAAGCAGTATAAGATACACTCCCTTCATCAGGTCCTTCTTTTAGAGTGAGACATGGGGCTTGGTTGGTTGTTTTGTGGGGTTTTTTATTTTTTGGCAAAAGGAACACTGTGTACAGGAGGTGAGAATGGTCTCTGTGCGGCATCTCCAGCTCACTGAGTGCTGAGGTTTACTTAGGTGACCTGATTCAAAACAAGAGCCCCCACTCCCATCCTTTAAAAGGAAGATAACCCTCCCAGAAACTTAACCAAATAATTTAGGATCATTCTTTTATGCCTTAGAAGGGCATGCTTCATCAAACAGCAGAGATTTAGACCTAGAGGGAATAGGACGTGAAGGGCATCATTTTAATTGGTATTAGTGAGTACCAGCAAGGACCCTGAGGGTCTGGGTCTGGGAGCAGAGCCCTGGAGGACAGAGCCAGGTGATGGCGTGAGATGTAGCAGAGGCAGGACCAGCAGGAGAACCCCAGGTGCCTGGGAGGGAAGAAGGGACACAAGTCTTTTTTTCCGTTATTGCCACTTGCTTCAGTAATGAGGCCACAAAAGCGTCTCCTGCCCAGAGTTAGCCCCCAGGTGGGGGTCAGTGCGGGTCCAGGAATTGTTCCTTTAGCTTCATTATTCGAGCGGCATTAATCATAATATACTTACTGGACTGTATACAGCACTGAAACTAGTGTTGAAAGTTCACTTGGGGTGATGAGGTTCTGGGTCACCCATTTCTGCATTAGATCAACGAGATTCACAAATCAAATCACAAATGGGTTCATTTATGATGGCAATAGATGTGGCAGGTACGCCTACACAGGGGAGGCCACTAAAGACCCTTCTCTTATTTGGTAGGAATAGAGTTAGAGCAGACTCCGCCATCCTTGTGTTGTGACAAATTTACTTGAAAAAAAGTTACACAGAATTAAACATTGTGAGCTGTTTAGTATCTTTGGTGGTATTTTAAAAGCTTTCCTTGTCTCAGGAGTTAGCCATTTACAAGTTATCTCAAAGAGTGATTTGTCTCCAAATGCTAAGGTCAGATACCATCTTCGGCAGAAACCTGATAGCCACCTGAGAGCAAGGTCACCTGTCTTGGTTTCATCCTCCAAAACAGAGCTGTTGGGCACCTGAAGGGGGAGTTTGCAACCTCTGTGGCCGTCCTAAGTGAGGGGTCACCTTGGGCTCACATGATAATATTGCTCTTGTTCCAAATGTTAGTAAGGCAGAAAGCAGAGACAGGGTTAAAAGGTAACTATCGCACATCCTCATTGTGATGGCACACTAGCCTGGAGAAACACATTTATATGAAAGTTCCAGCACACTTATTCCATTAAATTACTGAGAATTTGTGTGTGTGTTTTTAAGTAACTATTGAGCTTCAGCCCCTCAGTCAAAAAATGAACTTCGTAGTCAGCTGTCAAAAATCTGCCAACCAAGCTTTTTCAACTTCATGATGCTCATATGTACCTGAAACATTAAAATTTTTTCTGCATACTCGTGTCTGAGATTATCAAAGGTAACTCACTTGAGGATCTGAATATATACAGAACAACTGAGCTAAGTTATTGACACAGAAAATCACACACAGGGAGTTCTTGCTTCTCTGTGGTCATTGGACATTTGGCAAAACCACCTTGAAACACGCCGTGCGCATGTTACTATTTAGCATGCATGCCTTAGTTACTGTTCAGACACTTAGGTATTCTATCGGCCAAACATATATCATATCACCCTGTGTAAAGTTCTGACAGAGAATGTGCTTAGTCAATAATTCTTGGATAGTGTAATAAAATGTCTCTGATCTCAAGTAGTTTATGCAAAAAGAGAAAACAGCAACAAAAATGGGGGGAAAGGAGAAACATAAAGAGAGAATAACTGAAAAACATTTCAATAATCTGAAGGGAAGAAGCTGAAGCTCCCGTTTTACTATCACCTTAGCTTTCACCTTGGCAATGAAATTTATAACATTGCATAATAAATGTAGAAAGACTATTGTAATAACAATGGCAACAGTACCATCTTAGGAAATAACAAATTGGTCCTTTCTCAACCAAAATATGCACAAAGGAAAATGCATTTATAATGAGAATTCTCCCTCAGCAGAAAGCAGATCTGGGTCCAGAATATTGTTGATTAATGCTTGGCCCACTTTTAATTGGAATGATGAATACAGCCCACATGGAGAGCACCTGACAGATTGGGGCTATTGGGTTATTGATGGTGATTCAGATAAGCAAAATAAATACCCTTTAGCCAACTCGCCAGGTATCTCAGAGCCTGTGATCCCCTAAATCCTTCCTCCTGGTGTTTCATTGTGTTAAGAACTGGGAATAACCCAAGTGTAGATGAGTTCAATACAGCAAGCAGTAGCCCTCTCCTGGTGCCTGGCACTCACTCCCTCCGGAAGAGAAGGCCACATTGTAGACAGGGCTGTCCTACACACAGAGAGATTTCCTCTCTGCAGAATGGATTAAGGATCATACTGAGTGAACTAGGTTCCCTGCTCTGGACTATTCTTGTTAAAGATATTTTGTCTTTCCACATTGAGGTCAGGGTATGTTCAAAAAAATTCATCTACAATGACTGAGGCCACTAAGAAAGACATCCAGTTCTGACATGGCTTAGTATTGTTTGTGACAGATCCAAAATTTTCTTTAAAAATACTATCAGTCTCAAGAAGAGCTCAACTGGACAACAGTGAAAATAATATTTCTTTGACTCTCTTTGGTAGAGGGTCAAGTACGAATTACTGTTAGTCTCAACGGAGCCTGCTCTGTTCTTCCTCTACTGAGACCATAAATACAACTTCTTTAACGTTAATTAATTACTTATTTGTTTTCCTCTGTCTTCCCACTAAAAGAGCTCTATTCTCATATGTGGTAGTGAATGTGCTTATTAATTTTATTCTGATTAATCATTCCATTCAGTAATTCTTCCAACTCACTTTTTAAACTGGGCAGTTTTTCTTTGGGTATAAATTATCACTTTCAGAGAATAGAATTGGCCTGTAAACCCATCGAGCCAGATTAAGCCATTATTCTCACCTTGAGGTTTTATGTCCTCATCCCTCCTTCCTTGACAAGGTCAGTTAGCCATCAAGTAGTTGGTGAATTAGCCAGCACGATGGTACAAGCAGGCTTTTACTTCTTCCTACCTGTTAAGTTTTTATTGCTACAAGAATAAATCACACCATCGGAGGTTCAGGGATCATTTATAAAGCTGTGTGCCTCTGTTTACCCTGTCTCCTTCTCAACCATTGTTGAATATGTGCTTCGGAGTTCAGCTGCCTTGCTTGCAGTTTCTAAGGGATTAACAGAACTCTGACAGACTTCTTAGTAAACTACCTAGAGTTGCTATAACAGGTAGTTGTGAGACTGTTATAAAGATGCATCGTCTTAAAAGTTAAAGCATAAATGATATTATTTTATTACATTACAAGACTGTGTTGCAATCCACTGAGTGCCTTGTCCAAATGGCTCCTCCATGGCTGGCTTTATTAGGCATGGAGGAAATGTGTGGCTCTTAGGAAAGAATTCTAGAACTCTGATGCAAAAACTATGTTATATTTCTTCCGCATTTATTTTCCATTATTTACACCTCCTTTCTTCTGTCTGCAATGAATGATCTGCATGTGTTGTTAAATGCAGTAAGACTAGGCTTTTTTTCCAGGATAGCCGACTTGTGCGCTTATTGGCAAAATGTTAGATTGTTTCAAATTTTTTTTTCAAAGTGGTCTCTTCTGTTCACATTTATTTATAGAGGGGGAAAAAACACATCATAAGACTTAAAATAAAAAACTTTTTTCTAACAAACTAGCAACCTAGAATCCTTTCTTCTGTCATTTTGAACAGGTATTCTACCTGACATTGGTTACCTGTATTAACTATAACTGCAGGTGTTTCATACAAATCCAGAACTTATTTTTTTTTTTTATTTCAAAGCAATTAATGTTACCAACTTCCTGTAAATATTTTTTATAGCTCTGAAATATCTTGTTCCTCAATTATTTATACTATGTTGCACTGCTATTAATTATAAGGGTTGCTGTATTCTAAAATATTTATATTCTTATTTTCATATGTATCATATGCTAACACAGAGATTATCATCATTTCTAATGCCTCTATCAAAGCTAATTATTTCATTCTAACCATTAAGAGCACTAGATATATTTTGAGCAGCACAATTAAACTGCATAGTACTTACTGCTTAAATACGCTGTACTATTATATCTGAAAAAGCAATATAAACACATGACTTTATTTTTCAAAATGGAAAATAAAATCCCTCAGCACGTTCCTGGTGGTAAAATGCTTAATAATGTGCTACTCTATTTCCCTCACTCCTAGTCAGTTCTGTAGTAATAAGCAGAAGCTCTTCAGAATGTACACCACACGGAAGCAGAGGTACCCAGCATCCCAGCTATTGACATGAGACTTGAGAATGCCAGCTAACCTCAGGTGCATGACCAGGTTTCAGCGCCATCCTACCTGAGCCCTGTTCTGAGACTCACTCTTTCTAAGGACTTCTCGACTGGGGTTTTCAACCCGCTTGTAATTTTCCTTTTTGCCTGTTGCCTGCTTTGATACTCTCGACCCTTGGGACACATTTGTCCTATTGGCAGGATCCCGCACAGTACTGGCAGTCATCCCCTTGGCGCCTCCTTGTGGTGGAACAACTGCTGAGCTGCTGCACGCACTGGATTGTTAATGGCTCACTTGCCATATTGTGCCTGAGGCGAGCATTTGTAGAATGCTTATCTTATGAAGGGCTAAAACCCTAATTAAATATAACAATAACTACAGCATTCTAAGTCCAAGAGGATTACTGTGGGTTTACAGTGATGCCACACCATTCTCTGGCAGGAAATACCCACTAGTTGACTGCATGCTAGGCCGTTTGCGTAAATTGTACATCTGGTTCCTAGAGAGGGAAGAATTCCCTGGCAGAGCAGTTGTACAGGCTCCCCTGGGTACTGTCTTCAGCTGGGAATGTGAGGCTGCATACTCAGATCCTGCAGTCAATGGCCACAGAGACACTTTAGTTACTTTCTCCAAAGAGTGACCTCTTTGTTGTTGCCCTGGGGATAATCCTTGGCATTCTTCCAAAAAAACAATGTTACATAAATCTTCCTTTATATAAAATCATGTTTATTGATCAACACACACACACACACACACACACACACACACACACACAAAACAGGGAAATAATGAAAACTTCAATGGGCCAGTGAAGAACCTATATATTTTCATCAATGTGTGTTTTCAATAATGGCTACTTAATCTGTTTAATAGCCATCTAATCAAGATGCTCTGTTGATTTCCAAAGAGGAAATGAAGTAGGAAAACTAATAAAACAAATGTTGCCTGGTTTAAAAGTTCTGGATTAGGATCTTATTCGTAACTTTCATACAATTATGTCAAAAGAGAGAGTGAAAATATTGTATTTTTTTCTAATTTCGTGTGTTTAATATGTTTCTAATATGTTGAGTTCACTTTAAAAGAGTTCTTGAGAATTTTTTAAATAGTAGACATGGGCAAATATTCATGTAATTTAGAAGGACAGAAGGCAAAACGGTACCTAGAACTCATTTATATCAACTTTAAGTGTTTAAAATGCTATTAAGATTCAGAGAATAATATTTTCACTTTCCATTTATTCTTAGAGATAATATCAAAATACTTCAAAGGAGCAATTTTTAAAATATTTTCATGGAAACAATTGTTTTTATATATTTTGCTATTGTAAATGAGCCACAGTGGATTTGATACTTATTTGGGGTATTTGTTACTTTTTTTAGTAATTGAGATTTTTTTAAGGGAAAATTAGATTCTATATCAAATGTTTTTGTGATATATTTATCAGTTTTCTGTTCATTTAACTGACCTAGGAAAGAGATATATCTTGAAAGTTTGAAAAAATAATTTTATATTAACTAAAACACAACCTTGTGTAGTAATTAGGATCAGTTTGTTCCAGAAAAGGTAATCGATTAGATCAAGTATAGTGAGAACACTTGTAATGATAGCCATGTCCACTTAAGCCACTCATTAATCTAAATCAAGGTGCAGAGGTAAGCATATGTTCCTGAACCAGATCATCATAAATTTCAATGATGGAACAGATGTGCTAACACTGAAAAGAGATTTGAAATTTTTACCCCCAAAAAAAATTTAAAAAGCTTGAGAAGAGTAGTTAGTCATTTTGGGCACTATCCCTTGAAGGATTTGTTGAAATAATTTGAAGGCTGTAGAGTACATGTAGATCCTAGCCTGAGAATAAAAAGATGCAGTTTTATGATGTTTTTGTTGCTGTTATTTAATGTAATCTACCATTTAATCACACACTTATCAAGTACAGAAAAAGCCGATGACTGATGGGATTGTTTTAAAGAACTCTTGAACCCACCTGACCCCATCACAAAACTGCCCAGCCTGTTCTTTGCATGTGCCTTCAGCTAGTTGTGCTGGATTTAGCTACGTCTGCGTTTCTGAGGAGAGCTGTCAGTTGCATGGTCAATTGTTATTGTTCCCAGGACTTTCTGATCACCATAGTTCATTATTTGATTTGTTTTCATGTAAACACACATAAAACGTGGTGTCTTTTTAGAATATCATTTGTTAAGCAACTAGGCATGGAAAAATAAATGTTACTGTTTCTTGTTAGCTGCAAAACACATATCCACTAAACACATTTGCTGTTGGCATGCTGCAGTTGGGGACAGTGGACGTTGCGGTAAGTGGAAAAGACCAGGCCTCCACTTCGTCTCAGACAATCCCTTTCCATGAGAACACTGCTTCACGCCCCACAAACGCTGCAGGTCTCGGCAGCTCCGCGTAGCTGCTTCAATGACTCCCCTCCAATCCAACACCCTTCATGTCTGCAGGCCCTGAAAAGTCCTGGACCTCTTACCTGATAACGGTCACTTTCTAATAAATAACACAGCAGTTTCTAAATGAAACAAGAACACAAACAAAATAGGTACACAAAGCTTCTTGCAGTTCATTTGACTCCCACAGGAATCCCTTAGCCGGGTTGTTACTGTTGTCTCCGTGTGAGAGATGAGGACTCCAGAACCCAAGCCTCTTGGATTTCAGTCTGCCCTTCCCACCACATCACCCTACATCTCTTAATCAGGAAAACATGGAGATGCACTTGGATTTTTTTTAAAATAATGGTATTGAGTTCAGGGAGGAAGGGAGAGGGAGAGAGAGACAGAAACATGAATGATGAGAGAGAATCATTGATTGGCTGCCTTCTGCACGCCCTCCACTGGCAACCCAGGCATATGCCCTGACCAGGAATGGAACCATGACCTCCTGGTTCATAGGTCAACACTCAACCTCTGAGCCATGCCGGTCGGGCAGTACTTTGGATTTTATCATTGTTGTTAATGTTTCCTTTATCAACCCACAACAGTTCAATCCTAGCTGGCATCTAAGAACTGAATACCTGAACAAATATAATTTACCAGTAGCTGCCACAGCAAATCAATAAACCTGTTTAAGAGCAGGAAATTGTGTTAGTGAACATGACGTCTCATTCTGTTCATCAGTCATCACATTCATTATACGTTGGGGCTGTTGTACCTTGTGTGGTTTCATCTCACAAGAATGAGTGTCAGCATAAAAGAAGTGCGGTGTTGTGTTGTATGTTTAATATTACGTATGCAGTGCAACCAACTGCTATGAGATTGCATGAATTTATGGATATCGTAATCTTGCCTGGAATATAAAATGCATGCAGAATGTAGATATATATGTATATGTAACTGTCTCCCTGTTTTCCTGTAGAAATGTTTAGAAATTATAAAAAGAGATGCTCCCAAATAAAAAAGTAACTTTTTTTTAATCTCAAAAGTTGAGGTTAAAACTAAAATCTGTTTAAAAGTGATGACCAAACCAGCTCTTGGCTATTTCCAGTGTAATTAATTGTATACAAACTACTGCACTTGATCTTAGCTCTTTCTATGATGAATCCAGAAAGGGTGTGTATACCTGTAGCATGAGATTAATGTCAAATGAACGCAAACAGATTAAACAAAACTCAGATTTTCAATAGGAGGAAAATATATTTCTATGCTCCTACTTGCTAAAAACATTTTATTTACTGAAGTATATGACCATATACCATTTCATCAAATTATTTACCCAAGTGGCATGGGAGAAACTGCTTGAAATGGAATAATCGTGCCTCTGTTGTCCACAGTCAGAAGCTAAGTTTTAAGGAGCGGGTGCGCATGGCTAGCCCAAGAGGCCAGAGTATTAAGAGCAGACAAGCCTCGATAGGTGACAGGAGGTCCCCGAGCACCGACATCACAGCCGAGGGCAGCCCCACCAAAGTGCAGAAGAGCTGGAGCTTCAACGACCGAACCCGCTTCCGGCCCTCGCTGCGCCTCAAAAGTTCTCAGCCCAAACCCATGGTAGACGGTAAGCGCTGCTTTTCCATAACCGTTTTCAATCTGATAGGCTACAGTGAGTGAGATTATGAAGTAATTCATTCTCCTCGGTACCACTTGGAGATAGAAGGAAACAACCTCCGGGAAAGAATCGCTCGTTTGTTTTATTGGAAATTTAGTCCTTGCCTCGGGCCAATGTACGAAACCTACGTTTACTTTGGGAAGCAACTTTGGCAGCTAAATCTCAGTTTCAAAGAAATCCAACAAAATGTTGTTAATTCTGCACTCATACCTACAACACATTATCATTTATTAGACGAGGTCTGTACCAAGATCAACGTGACTGTCCTTTTGCTGTGTAGGTTATGTCTGAGGAGCAGAGACCCAGCCTCCAAAGCAGACTCTGGGACGGTCTGGAAACCCACTGAGAAGGGGAACAGCCCCTTTCCAGGCAACAGTGAAGGTGCTGTTCCCCCGTCTGCTGAGCTCCGTTCGTTACTAAATCAGAGGCCACCGCTTATCTTCCTTAGAAAGATCCCGTTGAAAGTTTCTATCTAATGATAAGTGGCATCCAAGTCCTTCTCCCAAGAGGAATTAACCTATTTTATTTATCACACGACATGTCAGACATTTACTTGCCAGCACATTTTATCGAGTGCCACATAATTTTTGTGTTTATGAAAGAAAACATTTTCTTTTTCATTTAAGATTAGTTTGGCTTTCCTTTGAAGTGTGCCCCCTGGGATCTCTAATACTGGGCAAGGAACCAAAATCAAATGGCATCTTCCATTAATGCATGAAAACTGCGAAGGCTATCAGTCCTTCTCGTCTCATTCCCTAGCATAACCTGTATTTTCCCAGGCCCCGAAAGCCCGAGGGACAAAATTCACAGCCGGGGGTCATCTCAGTGACCTCGGGCTCCTTGCAGTGAAATCCTTCAAACCTCAGCCCATGGGTTCCTCCCAGCCCGTTCATAGATCCTTGGGGACGAGAGTGAGCAACGTGAGTCCCCCTTCCCACTTCGTTCTCCACAATCCCATGGATGCCACGCCCTCCCAGGAGAAGGCTAGCAGCTGACCCGAGGCGGCCCCTCCTGGCGGGGCTTGCGGCTCCCATCCCAGCTGCAGGGTGCTGATCCTACCAGGCTTCCCGCCACCTGTCACTTTGCTAAGGTGGGAAATGTCCCTCCACCAGCCCCGGACACTCTTCCATCAGGGAGTGTGCTGAGGCTCTGGCAACACAGATTTTCAGTGTCCTCTGGTTTCCACACTCAACTCCCTAGGCATTTGGCTGAAAGCCCATAAACAGCTGAGTCAAGAGTTACCAGTTACAGGGCTTTATGTTGCTCTCAAAAAAGGCTTTCTGAATATAAATGAATGTCTCATTTCTGGAAGGCAATTTGGTAACATATATCAAAAGCCTTTACATATGCCTAAGCTTGGACACACCCCACCCACCAATTCCACTTCTAGGATATAGTTGATGCACTGAAATGATATCAGACATTAGAAGTGATGCTATAAATTCAAAATTATTGACATGGAAAGATGATCACAAAAAGTAAATGATTCCATTTTCGTGTGTGTGTGTGTGTGTGTGTGTGTGTAAATTTAAGTATTTATAGTAAAGTCTGGAAAAATTGGCAATATATGAAGTTACCTCTAAGTGGTGCAATCATAGTTATATTTTATTTCTTCATTTTGTTCACCTGTATTTCCACCAAACCCCTCTCCTTACGTTGATGCGCCCCCCCCCCCCAAGTGGAAGGAACACCAGCTCTAATAGTGGAAGATTAGCGTTCTTGAATGTAGACACGGAATGTCTAATGAGGTTTAACAGTTCCTAGAACAAATAGAGCTGCCCTATTAGGCTTTACGGCTGCCATAACAAAGTACCACAGACTAGATGGCTTAAACAAAAGCAATGTATTTTTCCCCTTCTGCAGGCTACAAGTCTGAAACCCCCTTGGCTTATAGATGGCCACCTTCTCTGTGTCTTCACTTTATCTTCCCTCTATGTCCAGATTTCCTCCTTTTATGTGGACACCAGTCCTATTGGATTAGGGATCATACAAATGCCCTCATTTTAACCTAATTATCTCTTTAAATATCCTATCTCCAAATAGGTTGGCATTCTGAGGTACTGGGGATTAGGATGCAACCTATGAATTTTGATGGGATACAATTCAGCCCATAACAGAGCCCCAATTCACATCACAGCATCCCAGGGAAAGCTGGGGTGTGCCTACATCTTCAGGCCTCGCCCTGGCTTCACGCTGTGCTGGAAGAATAAATTAGCCCTAATGGGTTCATACCCTTTGTGAATGTGGGCTTCAAAAAGCATTCGACTGTGTGCTGTGAGGTCCTTAGGGTGAGCTGAGCACATCTAAATATAAAATTTATAGAACCTGGATTCTGAATATGAAAAATGAATTTTACTTGTATGTTTGGCCAGAGGAAAAGCATTTTTCATGGACTCCAAGAGTCGGCACTATTCATCACAGTACTTTCAGTTATGGCAAAGATGTCTCAGAGTTCAGACAGACAGAAACAGAAGTCCTACTCTCTACCGGATCACAAATTGGAACGGCCTCGGCCATCCATTTTCTACGTCATCCCATACAAGTGCAGTTCTGTTTCGTTAGAAAGGAGTTGCTTTCTCTGGTTGATGTCCTGCTCGATTGACTCTGAGTTCCAACAGTGACAGGAGGCCTGACCGCAGTTCTGTTCAAGTAGCTTTGTTGGCTGCCCACCTGGAAGAGATCATGACTTCTGACGCCTCATTGCATCCAACAGTCCAGAATCTTTACCTCTGCCTTAACTCAAAGTTAGGTCTTGGGGAAACAGAAGTTCTCTTTTTATTTAAAAAAAAACCTGAAGCAGCTTTCATTGAAGTGCACTTTACTCCTGAATTATGCATTTTTATTTATGGTGCCTGTCCAGGTTTTAAGTATTTCTAAAATCCACCTATTACTCATAGAAAATAATACATAACACTATTGCCAACCCCCAAATACAAGTTGGGGGAAAAGTAGGTTGACAGTTGTGCAGATAGAAAATAATACAATAGTTAATAAATAATAATCCAAGAATAAACTCTGTTTCACATACGCACAACTATAAACTTTCATTTACCCTACCCTGTATTTCAAATCTATATGCTCACTCGCTTCTTGGGTTCTCTTCTTCCACTTCTCTCTTTCCTTTACATATTGTAGGAATTTCATTGCCCATTAACAGCTCTGGCAGGGTGGATGCATAGCAGCAAGAATTATGGAAATTCAGGTTGACCTTTAAGTTGATAACTAAGTTACATTTGGAAAATAATGGGCCTGTAACTGAAAGATACTATAATAGGGAAAAAAAGAAATTTAGAATTAATCTGTAAATATTAATAATTCCTGTGAAATCTAAAACCCTTTACTGCAGCCCTGACCACTTTGGCTCAGTGGATAGAGCATTGCCCTGCAGACTGAGGGGTCCTGGGTCGATTCTGGTCAAGGGCCCATACCCAGGTTATAGGCTCAGTCCCCAGTAGGGGGCATGCAGGAGGCAGCCGATCAATGATTCACTCTCGTCATTGATGTTTCTATCTCTCTCTCCCTCTCCCTTCCTCTCTGAAATCAATAAAAATATATTCTAAAAAATAAAAATAAAACCCTTTTCTGCAGATGGTATTATTTTTATAATTTAATGGCTCTTACAAAAGGTTATTAAGTATCCCATGCTGCTTTTCTTTGCTATATCTATGAAATTTATGTATTATACTTAAAAGGGCTACAATTGTCTCCTAATGTTCCACATCCATATGTACCAGAGAAGTGGAAAATAATAGATGTTGAAGCCAGAAATTTACAAATGACAAAAAGAAGTTCTGGCTTATGTGGCTCAGTTGGCTGGAGCATCGCCCTATACACTGAAAGTTACAGGTTTGATTCCAGGTCAGGGCACATACCCAGGTTGTGGGTTCTATCCCCGATCTGGGTGTGTATAGGAAGCAATGGATGGATGTTTCTCTTTCACATCCTTGTCTCTCTCTCTCTCTCTCTCTCTCTTTCTCTCTCTCTCTCTCAAATCAATTTAAAAAATAAAAACACAAATGGCAAAAAGGAAGTAGTAAACTATAAAAGACTAGTGTGGTATTGCCATAGAAAATTTATTTTGATCAATATGATGTGAATAGTATTTTCAGTTTATAAATCCAATAATATGAGAGAGGAATGTTTCATTAGTTAATCAATAGTAGTTAAGCCCCTTCATATAATTTTTTTAATTAGGTAGGAAATGACTATTTTAGATTCCACAGGTAAATGTGATCATGTAGCTTTTTCTTTCTGTGTCTGGCTTATTTCACTTAGCATAGTGTCCTCTAGGTTCATCCATGTTATTGCAAATAGCAGGATGTCTTTGCTTTTTAAGAATGAATAATATTCCATTGTATTATTATACCACAATTTCATTTCACTATATATATGTATATCAAGTCATCATGTTGTACAATTTAAACATACAATTTTATTTTAAAAATAAAAGAAATTAGGTAGGAAAAATGATAAAAGTAACATTTATTGGATCCTTCTCTGTGGTGGGCATTGTTCTAAATGCTTTACTTCTATTATTTAATTTAATCCTTTCAACACCTCTATAAAGTCATCCCCATTTTATGGTTGAGGAACCTGAGACTTGAAGCTAAGTCACTTACCCAAAGTCTAACAGATTGAAGTAAGTGAGTCGCAGTACACACCCACGCAGTCTATTTTCATAGCCCTCCTAGAGGACACAGTCTCCGATGTGCTCCCAGATGTCATATCAGTTTCCCTTTAAGCATCTTTAATATCTTCTTTTTTCTGCGACATACTCCCGCCTGCTTTCACTCTTCCATCTTCAGTGGGTCAGATCCTCTTCCCCTATAACCATTTGACCTTGCCACTATCCCATCCCATTTTTCTCCCAATCTCTGCTGCCAAGCCTCTGAACTACATCACTTTCAAAGACTGCCAGAGCTAGAAGATTAGGCAAATTGGGGAAATGA